GGGTGTCTAAGAAGATTTAGTGATGCCTTTGTGGACGTTGTGCCAACAGCATTAACTACCCGAGGATGTGAGAGGGCACTTAACTCTTTTTAAAATCCTGAATTCTCTAGATTTAAACTTGCTGTGACTCTGTATACCTTATAGGTTTTATAACTGAAAAAATATAACTTTACTCAGTAAATGACCCTTTTAAAAATATAGTAAGTTTAATTGGAAAAAGTTAAAGAATATTATAGTATTACTTTTTCTTGAACAAAAGGTATCTTAAAACACTTTTTTTGTTTTTTTTTTAAAGCAGAAGTTATAGACTTATAAATCTTGACCATAACATTAGGGGGTGCCATGAATGAAGGGAGAGCTAAGAAATTAAGGCAATTTAAACTTTTATTTTGAAGATTTAATTTAAAAAAAATCTAAGGAGACTGATCCTGAATCAAAAGAAGTGGCCAAACTCAAGTAATGGGTGGTAAGAGTACAGGACTTCAAATAGGGCAACCACCATATTATACAGACCACAAAAAAGTCTTTTGGGGGAATTCTGATTTTTTTTAGAAGTCAGAAATACTATAATTACTTCCTTAGTACATAATAAAAATCAGTTGTCTAGGGAAGGTTTGGGATTTTTAACTGTATCTCCCTTTTCCTATTTATTTGCTTATTTTTTATAGGCAAGAAGCCACGATATAAAAACAAGTAAAATGATATTTCTGCCCCAAAGTAGATCAGTGTCTACTGAGGTCTAAAGTACAGTGTGAGAATTGCTCATTGTTAAAATAGTCACAATTTAATGCTAGTCTGGGTCTTAAGAGGGGCACAGGAGTGTGTGTGGGGAGCAGAAGAGAGGCAGCCCAGGGCGGGGAAGGAGCGTGAGAAGAGGCAGAAGAGAGCCTTACTCTTCTGGGAAGAGCCGGAGAGGTGACAGGTGAGGCTGTTGGGCTGGAGCCAGCTTGTGAAGGACCTTTTGTGCCAGGCCAGTAACCATACTTGGTTTTTATGCGCATCCAAGAGCCATTAGACATTTTCAGGTGGGGTATGACATGACCATGTTTGAACTTCAGGGCAGTGACCCCCCCAAAGCAGTGGGATGTGTGAGATGGGGCTGAGGCCACGAGAGGGGCAGACAGCAGACAGTACCCGGGAGAGGAGCGGAGCTGATGCATTCAGGGAGCATTTGGAAATAGAACTGGGAAGACCTGTGGAAGGACCAAATGGGGATGTAAAGGAAAGGAAAACCTGCAGTGAAGATAACCCTGTGCTTTCAAACTTGAGCCAAGGGAAGGGACGGCTGATAATCTGAAGAGGTCACATGGACTCAAGGGAGAAGAGCAGCCACTGGATGTGGCGTGATGGCCTCGCTGGTCTCCGGGGGACTCGGTTTCCGTTGAGTGGTGTTAGTGCTAACGGAGTCAGAGTGGAAGCGAATGGGGGTGAGAAAGTGATGCCTGGTCTTTCATTTTACAGTGCTTGGCAGTAAGGGGTGGAAAAATGTTGATAGCTTAAAGAGGAAGCATATTTTAAGAAATATATTTCTGTTATCAAAGTAACACTAAGGAAACTTGGAAAGTGCAGAAAAGCATTTTTTTTTAAAGAAAAACAATCCAGCTATTCTCTTACTGCCAGAGACAATCATACACCATTTTCTTCCATTTCTTTGTGATTAATTCTGCCTAATTATGTGTAAGGATGATTTTGCATATTAAAGTCTATTTTTCTTATTTATTTATTTATTCACTGGAGATTAGGTGTACCATAGCCGAAAGAGTAGGAACCAGTAGAGGGTGGTTTGGGGAGGGGTTATCTGTGTGAGGGAGAGAATAATTGATGGACACAGATCCTAGAATGTGCAAGGAAGATTAAAAACCCAGAAAGTTTACCTTAGAAACTTGAGATGAGGAGGAAAGCATGGGTGAAGATACACGGAAATTTAACCATCATGTTATCAGGGAATGTGCATCAGGGATTGTGACTTTTTTTCTCTCTCCTTTTTGCTTCAAAAGGAAATCACAGTGCAGTAACATACAGAGCAAAACAAATGAATTCAGTGCAATATTTGGCTGTTTTCACAAACCTGCAACATCAACCATGCATTTATTTTATGTCAGCGAATTA